GTTTTGAATGGCACTGGCATCACTGGCACATCAAAGTGCAGCTGGGTAGCATGAAGCTCTTCGCCCCTCCAAGGCCGACATGCAAACTGGCTTGAACCGCTGTCAGGTTTTCATTCTGGATCCTGCCGAAGCCTCGACCCTGAGACTATCGAAAGTCGCGGCATTAATCGAGGTCATCCGAATCCCGAAATGTCCAGCATGATGTGGAGCCGTTGGACGTCGTGAGTAGGTTTCGAACGACTGGGCACTGTAGCGGATCATTGAAGTGCACTTCTTGTCAGAAGCTCCTGTGCAGCTTTTTGTGCACCCTCTGCCTCACTTTCGCCGCGCCTATTGCGCTGTCTTGTGCTCTTGTGGGCATGGGATTCTACTCGCATGCCCCTCATAATAAGGATGACGAGCACCATCGAACTTAAACATAAAGAGCCATTGACACCCTGCTAACGGATTCAAAAAGCGAAAATGCAACTTTGGGCTTGAACCCCCAAGTGGCAATGAACTACAGCCCGGATTTTCAAAACTAGTCCATCTCAACGGCCCATGCAGCAGAGGCATGCGCTGCTTTGCGGGCCAAGCTGGAGACAGCGGCCCCCTTGCTTCTGCTAGCCCTCCGCAACTACAGGTTCTTTGTTCGGCTTGAAAAACCAGGAAATCAGCCACAGTCACACTAAATGTAACTTTTCGTCGCTGAGTGGAACCAAGCTGACCACAGATTCAAGCTACCTACGATGATGAACCCGCAAGTGGAAGGGGCGAGTACTTTTCGATTATTGGAGTGCAGGATGCAGGCTCGATTTCCGAACCACAAATCGTACCGTGCCGCTTCCAGTCCCTGAAGCAAGCACATCATTGCGTGGCGTGTATGCTTGGCGATGAGCATGTTTCCTATAGTCAGGCTATTGATGTCGGCATGCGTTCCACACGTAGTAGTTGCAAGGTGGTTTGGGTCGGAGTGCTACACTACCTTGGCTATGCCACCGCTTCCTACCTCCTTCGTCGGAAGTCAAAGCATCAGCATCAATGTGAGCATGGCCGCAGCCGTAATGCCAGTAAGAGGCCCTGAAGAAAAACAACGACACTCATACTCGGACGGAGGAGTCGCACCCTGCTCACCAATGGACGGCTGCATCGAGCGCTCCGGACTCCCGTGGGCCATATCAGCTTTGTTTCACCGTCGGGATTTGGAAAGAGCCGGCATTTTGGAGAAACATAGGAGTCTGTTAGTTTGGCACGTAGATTTTTCGGGCTGAGCCGAGGAACTCGCCTAGTGGATGAGGCCAAGGGAGCCACATTTCGCCGCTCTGTGAAAGCTTCGGCCGCTCGGCTGGATCTCTGCGCGCTGCAGCAGATCAATTTGGCTTGTGAAGGGGTTGGTTGGAAGGATTGCCACGGTCTTCGGGTAGTTCGAGATTGAACCGCCTGCCAGTCTTCCAACATGAACAGCAGATTGAAACCTGAAAACCCTAGCCACACAGGTTCTGAATATTCGCAGGCGGGGCGTCTGGTTCAGGTAGCTGGAGGAACACGGAACATGCGGGAGATGATCCCAGCTTGGGGGGAGAAAACTCTGAAGTGCTCTCGAAGAGTCTTTTGAAGGGTTCACTTTGGGTTCTGCTCCAGTGTCTTCAGCAGCCGAAACAGCGAGGCGGCCTCGCGAGGTGCAGTGTCTCCGAGGGCGCTTCGGGTTCTCGGGCTATGTCTAGGTGCAGCTTTCAGGACTGCGACTGTGATGGCTCTAGGCCTTGAATTCCAGCGCCCAGGCATGCTTTTGGTGCTTCTGGCATTCACTGTCCAGTTGAGGATCCTTGAGACTTCCGCAGCCAAGCCTGCAAATAATCCTTGAGTTGCAAGTTGACAGTCATGGTGTTGCTGGCGGTCTGAATAGCAGCGTCTCTGGTTGTTGATGTGGCATGCACGACACAATAGCTTCTGTACCTCTTCGTTGTCCCAAGAACACAATCCAAATTCCGATACCGCAAACCAACCCCCAGCAGGGTTCCTTACCATCCAATTTTCGAGTTTTCGCTTCAATTAATTAACCCGTGGCTGCGCTCCTCCTCCACCAATTAACTCCACGTTTTCCTAATTAGACCCAAGCAGAAAACCCGCCCGAGATACCCGCAAGCTTAAAGGTTGATCCACCAAGGATGCTCGGAATGTAAGGAGTGGGGCGGTGTGGGGGCTCAAGGCTTGAGTGCAAAGGACGAGCACTTGCAGCCTGGTGCTTTTTCGAGAAGGCCTATGGCCTAGGGCCTAAGGCATGCGGATCGGGCTTGGGCTTTGCAGCTGTCGCCTCGCGAATGCGGCTGAACTCGATGCAGAAGGCCTGCACCTCTATGAACAAGTCCTGCACCTCAATCTTGCCAACGGGAACATGCGAAGTCGAGAAGCGTCGATCATGTGAACAGCCCAGCGGCACTCCCGATATGTTTATGAGCTATAACAGCTATGGGCTTTCGGAGAAGTCAAGCGCTTTTGGAGGAACGAAGTCAAGTCGCAAAGATACTCTCGAGACCAAAAAGGCAAAGCAGTCAGCACAGCTGTCATTCTTCATGAATGTAACATGTCTCACAGAGGCACCATGGCAACAAGCACATGTGTCACGCACTCCAACCAGGCAACAAACATCCTGTTGGATGCGCTGAGGCGCTAAGGACTGCTTTAATTACTTCTTCCAGCTTCCGGGTCGCGCACGTTGATGATCTTGTTGCGGATCAGCGAGGTCAGGAACACGCAGACCTAATTATTCAGATCGGAGCGCAAATCTGTAACACCCCATGCCCGAAGCCTCAAAATCCAAAATGCAGATCTGATCTCATGACGATTTCGCTTCAAGAGCTCCGGAACCCGCAGAGTTCGAAATCGGCCATGTTGGAGGTTTGGAATACAAGCTTTACGGTTGACAATGTTTATCTCGACTTCCTTTGGTCCCTCGGCTCTCGTCATGCCAGCTCTGCTGCAAGACGGATCTATGTCCTGAAGCTGCATCAAACTCTACGCAATCAGACCTCAGCGTAAACCGACATGTCGTAGTGATGGCCTGGGCCTGGGCCTCAAGAACACCTTGGACGTGAGAGCCAGATATCGTGCTCGTTTGGTGGCAGAGAGTTCGAAGTCGTGACGCCGGCCTGCAGGTCATGAGACTTCTAGGCTCCCCACGAGGCGAACCAAGCGGTTCTGCATGTACTTGTCCTGCTGCCGAGGGAAGAGAGCCCGACCAAACGCTTAGCGTGGGATTCTCGGCGTCTGCCATCGAAGTTGGCAAAGACTTTGGCATTTCACCCGCATTCCCGGATTTCGGACCGAGGACTTACCAAGGCAGAGTCAACTCGGAACAACTGCAAGAGAATGACACTGTCAGTGCGGCGGCCAGATGTTCAGATTCGAGAGCCTGCAGATGACCGGAGTCTGCAAGGCGCAAACTTGACATGGAGTCAAGCGGGAAAGAGGGTCTGCAGAGTTTCAGCAGGTTTCCTTCCCCAGCACCTTGGGGCCGGCCTTCTGCATACACGGAGCCCAGCCCGCTGTGCTCTCCGAACGGATCCCATCACGCTGGCTGGTAGCAACGGTTTCGCACATGCTGAATCTGTCTGAAGCCCACAAGCCCGCATCAGCCGACAAGACAGCCAGGGATGCGACACACATGGGACCCTAAACCCTGAAATGAAGCTCACGGCACCTTGATGTTTTCGCAAGAGGAGATGCAGTTGGAGATATAGAGATGTACCTCTGCATTCTTAACGGCAGTCCTATTAGACTACTGATACGACTACTCGGCAGGTAAGACTATTGAGTTCGGCGCGGGGTCCAGGTCCTGGTCGCTTTGGCTCTCAAGGCTTCGAGAAGCTGACTCTGAACCCAACAAGATCTGAGCGGGCACGTCGAACCGTCCTAAAGTTGCGGCGTCCAGCCCTTGTCGCAAAAGCCCTTGAATCCTGCGTCCAAGTTCATGCTGATGAAGGCCACAACCGAAATCCGAAACCCTGGAAGTCCAACTGCGATACCTGAGACACCGATGTGCTGCAGGGACCACCCCAGAAGCCAAAGCCCTGACTCCTAAAGAGGATCCCAAATCCCAAACTCCGAAGGCCCAATTTGGTTTAAACAACGACGAGAAAGACCTGCTGTCACACAGCTGTCATGAACAAGGCCCGCACAAACTCTGGAGGCAGATCTACAGATGTCGTCAGTCTGTTCACGACCTGCGGGGAGGCAGTGCTTTGCCCCTTGCAGGATCCATGCAAGTCCAGGATGTGGTTCGACTTGCAACAGTTGGACGCCCAAGAGTTAGATCCTGATGCGCAACAGCGATGTAGGTGTGGAATTCTATGCAATCGTGAATCGAGGGCCACATGAGACTCATGAGACTGCGAAGCATGCAAACGCCTTGTAAGTCTGCCATGGTTCTACTTCCGTGGTGGTTTGGAGACGAGACCATTTCACTCAGATATACTCAGATACCCTGGCTCTGCATTAACCTTTCTGTCATAGCAACAAAACGACATTTGGAAACTACAGTAGCTACAAATAGACTTACAACAAAACTATAACACTCATCATGGCAATATTCAGACGTGTTTCTGGTAACAGTTGAAACAGGCAGTGATACCTATCTGCACGGAGAATGTCAGCGACAATGAGCACGGTTTTTTCAACACTTCGAGGTCGCTCCTGTCCTAGCAACAACATGCGATTCAAAGTTGCCGTGGCGATGAACGTTCGCTCACAGCCCTCGATGTGCCGTCTGACAGTTTCACCTTCACATATAATCAGATTGCACTCAGCCAGGCTGCACACCTGAGAAGTTGAGCACCTGTTCTTGTCGAGGCACATGCGTCAAAACCACCCTCTGAAATTTGGAATATCTGACCGCCATGGCTCTGTGGCAAGGAGGGATGCTACAGAAGCCATCTGATGTCTCAACAAAACTTCCCGCGGAGTTCCCAACCCTTGAATGTTCAGGTGCCGAACTCTGCAAAACTCCATGATGACGGACACTTCTAGAGTGCTCTCGTGGATCCGAAACTTTGGCCTACTGAAGCCTCAGGCCCCATTGCCATAGCCGTAGCCTCCATGGAGTGAAGACTCATCTCCATGTTGACCAAAGCATTGAAGTAGCCCGAGATCTGGGAGCCGCCCATCAGCTTTAGAAGAACCTGCTCTCGGGTGTCAGGCTCTGGGTGGATGAAACGCTATTAAAACTCGTAAGCGATGGCGACAATTTCAGTGACCTTAAGCGGAGGGGGTACTTCAATCGAAGGCTGCTGCTGTTCGTCCATGCCAGGCCTTAACCCCCCGCCCATGCTCTTGGTTCAATGGTCTGCCCTCCCACACGTACACACTGCACCCACGCACACACACCCACGCACACACTGAGATGTCGTATCATACATTCGTGCCTGTTGCCTGCTAGAAAAGAAGCTGCATGCCGAGTACGCTCTGATCACTCTCCACGCCTTCTTGTGCTAGCTCTTTGTGCGAATCCTACTCACGTAGTCTTGGCGGGGCAGATGCCGCCCGTCCGCCGATGCCTCCTCAAAAGTGTGGCAAACCTTTGTTGAGCAACCTTTCTTCCTAGCAAGCCATGACAGAATGCGGACAAGAGTTATAAGTTATCACCAAGTTTTTCCAGCGGCCTCTATGGCGATCTGGGGATTGTTCTCCACCTTGCCAAACAACATGCCATTTGAGGGGCGACTTTGGTCCGAAGCTTGCTAGGCACAAAGAGCTCACCTCTGGGGAGATCCTGATTCCTCCTGCCTAACGCCTTTTCTTGTAGCGCACGCACTGCATCCTTCCTCAAGACCCTTGCAGAGGTTAGGCGATGCACGGGCGTCTCTGCGAGAATAACAACCCTCGTTGGTGCTTGCTGCCAGGCTTTCGCCAAAATCATCCAACTTGTATAGTCTGTGAATCATTCCAAGCCCGACATCTTCCAAACGAAGGGTCGCTCAACTCACCTAGATCCACATCTTGCTCGGCCCGGCACCAGTTCTGGCAACTTTTTGGGCGTTAACCCACAATGGTAAACCAGCTTGGCATCCTCGCTGCAACTCAGAGGTTTTATGGTTCAGTCATGTTCGGCATTGCTGGTTCAGCGCTTCCAATAGGTCAGGGCTCCGACTGCCATAAACTCCGTCTGAACGAAGCTACCAGGGAGCCTCCAACTGCCTTACGTCAGACGATGCATCCTGAAGGTCACTGCGCTGGCAGTGCCTTCGACCATCTGCGCACGGCAGTCTGTTTCGAAGCCGGGATTGCATCGAGTTTGAACTCAAACAGACTATCAAGCCCGAAGTTTATGCCCACATGCCATGGTCCTGCGCCAGGCCATCTGAAATGATTTGGATCTGCTGCGGCTGCAACTGTGTTTTCACCTGGCAACGTCACGCTTGCATTCAGAGTCGATCTTTTGAGGCTCGGACTTAACAAAGACAACAGAGCATGCGGGACCAACCGCGATGCTCGTGAACGAGGATGCAAGGTCTGCCGGCCCATGTTTCATGGTACATGTCGAGTTTCATCACTGAACATGTCGGGACATTTTAGATGCAACGCGGGCAACATGGCAACACATGCCTCGATAGTTTTGAAGTGTGCCTCCTCATCCTCATGCAAACTTACTCCACCCTCAGGCCCAAACCACCTGCTCGTAAGGAATGAGACAACCTTCGCCTTCGCCACGCAACGAGAGCTCTCGGACGCCAGCGACAAGCCAGGGTTTTTTCAGACGCCGTCGCTCGCGGATTAGCGGAAGGGTTGCCGGGCCTCGGAGGCTTTACAAATTGTCTGAATGGGCTTGCTACGGGCAATCCGAACCATCACCCTTGAGAGGGTTGACCCTGCAGCTAAACTTCAGTCTTGCAACCTCCAGCGAAGTTGTCCAACATTCCTGCTATCTACTCGGGTACCATTGTTTCACTCCTCGTCGAAAGTAGCTGCGTCTCGGTTCTTAGGAATTCACGGGTTCTTCGAGGTAAGCACTTGAGGGTTGGGAGCTTGGGAATAAGCGAAGGAACTTCGACAAAGCAACGGCTTTGGGGGTACTCTCGACGCGAAGCTTCAACTATGCCCGAAGACCGCCGTGCCAGACCCACCCTCGAGCCGAATGTAAAGGAGCTTGCGAGCGCGAGCTGAGACAACGATCGGATAGATCTAAAGAACTACAAGCTTCAGCATTCAACTCACGCTCAGACAGCGTCTGAATACCGATCCCAAACCAGATGCGATTGGTCGTTAAGCGTGACCAGAGCAGCCGCTTTGGCGATAAGCTCCTTGACTTCGGAGCCTTGGGCGTGCAGCATGACAAATTGTATAATTCACCAACCTACAGACACAAGCCCCGCGGCAAAAGCCTGAGAAGTCCAAAGCAAAAGCTTGCAGGTTCCAGCGTTGCTGCGGTTTCTGAGCAGCCCCGCCTAGGGATGTGTCTGCACACATCGTGTAATCCCAAAGCCTCAGCTGATCCGAGTTGTGGGAAACAAGACAATCGAGCAAGCGTCACCCAAGCACACATTGCTGTTGGGGGATGTTTACTTGCAGAGACCGGTACAGGTCGATATGCCGTCGGCTTGAGCGCAGAGCCCTAAACCACTCGGCATCCAGAACGGTTAGTCCGACACTCCAAGTCTCGGGTGCTGGAACCCTAGGGACTTCGGGTGGCACCGTTTCTTCCAAGCGGCGGCTCCGACAGCAGATGGGGTGGAGTCAGCCAGAAGACCTCGATTTATCCAGGCAAAGCTTCAAGGCTGGGGCGGCTGAGACAAGTGACAGGCCATGAATCCCTGAAAGCAACCCGTTTGGCTTCATGTATCGTACTCGTTGGGTGGCCAGCTTTCCTTTTGAATCTCATGTACTGATGCTGTCAGCAGTCAACTTGCCAATTGCTACGCAAGCTTTTCTGCCAAGATTGTTGCATCTGTTGGCCTGAAACGGCGACTTGGGCAAGCTTTGCCTCTAAACCAGAGCGCTCTCTCCAGCTTTATACCGGCATGGGCATAGGAAAAAGTCTGCGAGCCTTGGTGGGCAGATCTGGGCACAGCCTAAAATTAGGATGCCTGAAGGCTGAGGAAACATGTCCAAAAGAATGTCGTCCAGGTCCAGATTGGAGCCCCGCAGGTCTGACGCCTCCTAGACATTCCGCTCTGCTTTATGTGCGCTTCCATGAAACCCAAAACCAGGTTTGAAACTCGATCCCAAATCCTGAATGCTGAGCCCGTGAAACCGTTGATATCCTTATGCAACTTATGCAGAACTTGTCTCTCATCGCATGCCCTGGTTCAAGACATCTCACCTCGTCTACAGTCGGCTCCAAGAGCGGCGGCACGGGTCGTGCCCTGGGTACAGCAGCAGAGGGGAGCAGCAGCTTGCACCAAGTATCAAGAGAATCGATGACGCAAGCCCAAACCTTGAGTTGTGAGACGTGCCGATACCGTGGGTTTAGGCTGGGTTTCTCAATTTGGGCAGGGTTTTGAGTTGATGCATGACAGTGAGGATGTCAAGATGTTGGGGCCAACAACCGAGGTGTCCATGCAGGAAGCATTGAACTGAGAGGGCAAACGGCCACTAGCACTAGCAAGCTCGATACAACTACCCCTCAATCCATGGCGCGACTGGGCTGGCCCTAACCCTCAAACCTTCAGGTCGAAACTCGAAACCTAAACCTTAAACTTAAACTGGTGAGCATCCCTTACACGAGATGAGGCTTGCGACGTCACTAATGGATCGAAGACTAACGCTATTTCATGCGACAGTCCTGCCTGCCATATGTCTTGATACATACCAGAGTATCAACCAAACTGGGCACCATGCGATGCCAGCAATTGTGGGTTTGTAAACATGTTGACAATGAGTATATGGACACCTGTACGTGTAATATGTATGCCTGTATGTGTGGATGTGTTTCTGCATGCATGTGTGTATGTCTGCGTGTTTGCATGCACACATGCCCGTAGATGGTGGCTTGTTCGTGCAAGCAAGTTTGAGGCTGGCGCCAGCAAGGTTCCAATGAAAGCATTGTCAGCTCCTTTCCGAAGGATGATTCAAATAAAGATGATTTCGCCCCGTCTTGGGTACAGTGTCATCCTAGAGACGTCTCCCGAAGGAAGGCCGTCCAGCAAGGGCAATTTCAGGCTCCAGACTTTCGAGATTCGTGGGGCTTGGACATGCGGCGGTGGATTGAGGGTGTTGCACGACATAAGGACCTGGCATGTAAGGTTTGGTGCTCAGCGCTTTAGGCCCTAAAGGGTGCTCCATCGAGCGGCATGAAGCCTGCAAACTCAATCAAAGGAACCAGAGGGTTCACGAGTTCGGGCGGAATGAAATTTTTCGTGGTGTCACAGGCCGGTTTTGCAGAGATTGGCAGATTGTTGTACGTATATGTGACTGGCTGAAGCAACCCACAGCCCGAGACACAACCCTAAGTCTCGAGGTGACTGCTAGATCTAAAGGAATCCTAAGCATACATAGTGACATAGTGAACTCCACGTCCAAAGAAGCCTGACTTAAGCCCTGCAGCTCCCAATGCCACAAAACACAGAAACTGCAATGATGTCCCTTCGCTCCTCCGGGTTCAGCTCTATGCTCTCTGTCCCAGTGACCTCGGCATGACAAAGACCCTCTGATTGCACGCAAGCAAGACTTGCAGCAGCCCTCAACGCTACCGCTTCAAATCCTCGAATCCCTAGAACTGGCGAGACTTACGACTTAGGACAGATTCGAGATGCTGCCAGCGCGCATCTTCCACGTCCTCGCCCAAGCTATTTGGGGGCAGCGGAGATGGAACCTCCAAGAACAAAAGTCTCGCGCTCAAAAGAGTTCGAGACTTCATGCATCCTTGATGCGTGTTCGGTCTAGGGGCAATTGGGGCATTTAGCGGGCCCGAAGTCTTCTAAAGGCTCTATCCCGAAAGGCAAAAGGCCCCTGAGTTGGAAAGCCTTGCGGTCTACAGCATCACTCCGGCCTAGGTAGGCTAACTTGCACTAACTGACACTCCTCAGCCACCCCGTCCTCAAAGCACCGGAAGCCCACAGCCACCAGCAGGAAGTGAGGCTGGAGCCCGAAAATCCCAAACCCTCTAGACTCTAGACTCTAGGCTCGAAAAAAAATCATCTGAGCGAGTGAAGCAATCTTACAGCCGCCAGCCTGAAACAACGAACATCCAAGTTTAATTAATTTACAGCGTAAGTATCTTCGACTTCAAACTGGGCTCAAGAGGCTACAGTTTGAGGGTGGAGGTTGGGAAGGCTTGAGTTTTCACACCATGTGCACTCCCATGCGGATTGTGCACACCTGTCAATGAAGCCCTTGGCTACAACCGTCTTGCGGAACTCTGCTCCCCCCTCCCCTCCACCGCCCTCTCAACGGCCATTCCAACAACACGATCATGTGACCTGTGGGAACGTTACAGATGGTTCCTCTTTCGCTACCTACTCAATTACTCGATTGAGAGTAGGAACCCTGCCCGCCACTAAACGATATGGGACTGTGACTTTTCACCAATCCTGTCTTTGACGTGACGAATCCGAGGCTTCGGCCCAATACCGTTCGTCTGACCTTCGGGGGCCGCTCGGGCTCGACGGTACGGGATAATGACAGCCGGAGCCCGGTACGAGGTGCGAGGGCTCGTCAAGTGTTGGATTGAAGACACCGTGGTGCAACAGTCCAATACACACAGCCATAGGTCTCAAATGTGGTGCATCCACGATCGGTGCATTCCTGTCAATATGAGTCCACTGAACCGGCATGCGAATGTGAGGGGGCTGCTAGAGCCCGAGAGATGCTCAGCTTTGAACGCTTCTTTGATGACGGGTCGGATGCCCAATGCGGCGCTTGCGCTAACCTGAGTCTGTGGCCGCTCCGGCTTCGCCAGTCAGTGGGGCGGGGGCATGGGACTTATGAGATGCCCGGACAGGGTTTGGCATTTTCCAGACGGAGGTGTCTGCAGGCGTCTCGACCGCGGTTAGAATGAGATGAAGAGGCCACTTATTAAAGCACTCAAAGGACTTCAAGCTGACAGCTGCAGATGTTTCAACCTTGAGTACAGCGCTGGTGTGTGTCCCCTTTTATAAGCGCAGTATGACGGAGATGTCTCCCGGATCCCTACTTCGATGCACATAAGTCGGGTGATACCAAGCCTAAAGCCCAAGGTTTTCATTGTCAAGCTTCCCAAGATTGAAAAGCTGCGAAGCTATGCTAAGCCGCTAAGCTAACCCTTCGAGTGGTGCTCTAAAACCTCAGGTGCCGATCTTCCCTTGGGCCCATGGCGGCCGGGGCTCCGTCCTGGTGCATGCTCCGGACCTTGGCTCAAGCTCTAGGACTCTGAAGCCGTTTAGGATCGGGTGTCGTTGTTTGAGGGCTTTTTTGCGTTTGAGCTTTAGTGACCTCGCAGTCTTCGCTAGCCGGATTTGAAGGATTCTGACAATAATTCTGCGGTAGACCGGCTCGAGCAGGAGTCAACGTCCGTGACTGCTAACACCTACTGCAGACAACTGGGCCAATACGAGCTTGGCAACAACACTATGTCACTATGGCAAAGGCCACATCCACGACGCGGTTGAAATGCACCACAGCCCTCTCTCTGCTCGAAGCCCCAAAAAGTCTCCAATCTTCTTTCTGGCCACAAGCCCGGCAGCGACACTGCCGAAGGCATCGAAAGGATCGACCTGAGCCTCTCGATGCCCACAGCCTTAAACCCCCGATAATCTGAATCCCAGCCGGGTTGCCATGTCGAGGTCTGGAAGGGCTGGAATGTCGTTTGGATCGCAGCCTCGGGCAATCGAAAGAATTCGGGACTTCTTATTCTTTGCAAATGTTGTCTTAACGGTTCAGTGGGTTTCCAGGATGGGCGGGAAGTGCCAGCCTTGGAAGGTTTGGGCGAGGATTGCTTTGGATTCTTGACATCGGCTGCAAAAATTACAACAAAACTCCAGCTGATCGGAAGTAGACGATCACTGAAATTATTCGAAGGTCTGAGTGCTGCTAAAACTTTGGATAACGAGCTGACTTAGATCTCTGGCTTCCTGCCTCTTCTTTTTCTGGGTCAAGCTGCGACTTCTTGGAGAGATCACTATAACGGCAGTTCGCAAGTCGGCGAGTCTACATGTGCGGATACTGGGAGGGAGACGCCGTCGTTCGTCGACAACCACAGCCCTCATCAAATCGAAGGGTCGAAAGCATGCGAACCTCAAGCCACTTCCCCTCGAGGATAGTCACGACCGCCAAAGCTATCCGCCCTCAGCCCACATCCAAAGATGCCCACTTTGCACGAACTGGTTCACGGTCTGCTTGTGAAGGTCCTGCGGGGCTGCTAGTAGCTTCGACCGCACTCATATTCTGACAAGGAGGTCTTCGAAACTGTTAGTGTGTCGGAAAGGGTTAAGTTTGGAAGATGTATATGACCTCGAGATGTCTGGGTTCTTTGGCTGAGACCCGCAACCTCGCCACTTTCAGGGTCTATTTGGATAATGCAATCGGACAAGTGTGGAATACGAACACGGAACACCGGGGCAGGACTTGGCTGGCTTCTTTGCTTCGCTTGGCTCTTTCAAAGCGGCTTGTTCGGGCAAAGATAATTGAGTGGAATCTCAAAACTGAAGGCATGCGCTGCCTCAATCTGGCCACACCGTGCTTTCAAGTCTCTGCCATGCCCTTCAATTCTCTGTCAGCGTCCTAAGCTCGGCCCTTGACCTTTTGTGTTTCAGTCCGAAAGTGTGCAGTACACCGCTCGATTTTTCAGCGATCCGGCAGGTTCGATGGTTGTATGTTTTGGCGTGGTTGGGAGCACAGGTTTTCGTCTTTTGTTGGTGAGCAGATGTTGATGTGCCCAATCAATGCGGCCTCTTTGCAGGTTCGTCCTGAACTTCGATCACTGTCATCGGGCTGCCAATCGCAGCCCTCCATGTCCAGCTCGTACCACAACCGTTCACATGTACCCTCCGCTCAGAAGTTACAGAAGGTTCGATTGCAGCCTGACGCCTTTCCGGCTGTGCCACGCTAACCAATGAGAGTGTGAAGCCCCGTAACTCTACCGGCCATGACAGTGTTCTGAAATGCTAAATGCCAGCTCCCTGGTTCACGGCTCTGTAACGGGCATGCATGACTGATGCGACGCCGCTCGTAACCGGTAGCGGTCCAAACGAACTCTTCTTTTGCAGGCAGAACGCACTCCCGGAAGAAAACTCAATCATCTGCCATCAGCAGAACAACTTGCGGAGCCACGCCCTGAAACAGATTGAATGAAAGGACGGGTCCTTCGGTGGATTCGACAGGAACTGGAGCAGGAATTTTCGCTCCACACCATCATCTGCAGCGTTCAGGAAATAAGACTGGTTGCTCGGTCTCAGATGTTGGATGAGGCTTTGGGCTTCCAATTTCACTGTTGCGCAGCAGGCGCTTGCTTTGAACGTCTTGAAAAAGGCTTTGGGCAGGGAGACCCATCCTCGACTCACTTCATTCCGACGCGGAACAGACTGTGGGCCTTCTGGGCCTTGTACCTGGGGCCTTGCGTTCACGGTTGCGCCTGGAACAGAAACTGAGAATCTGGAGACGACCGGAAACGCTCGAAGTGCAAGAACCACACAAGCTGGGGGGAGAAGCGGAGTACTTCGTCTTCCGCTCATCGTTCGTCTATGGCAACGAGCTTTAGCATGCTTTAGCAGCACCTTCCCTAACGACCCCAAGAGCAGCAGCTTCATGCTAGGAAGCCTTTACCCGAAAGGATCGAGGTTGGCTTTTTGAAGTGGGGGACGTCTGCACAAAACGAAACATCATTGACACGGAACCTGTAAACACTTCTTAATACATAAAAGCAACTGAGGAGACCGCAGCTTGTCTCTAACATCTCCACCACCAGTGGCACGAAGGGAGTGGTGGCGGTCTCCCGTTCAGTGCCCCGGTCATTCCTGGACCGGTTCTGGAGTTTCAGGGTGAAGGCTTCGCCGGGGAGGATTTGGTCTGTGCTGGATTCCAATGGCGGCTGTTTCTGTTGTCTTCTTTGACCCACGGGAGGCAGATTGCTTGATTCTCGGATTTGCTGCTGCCTGACCTTGCTACAAGCAGTGCAAAAGTTCACCGAGTCTATATGTGTGACATCGGTACCCCGCTCTGCCCATCAGATCTCAGACACTAGGGAAGGAAGTGTTAAATCCGAGTTCACTGCAGTGTGCCTTTGTCGGTTCACCCAGCCTCTGGTCCCAGTCAGCAGCAGCTTATGATGGGTCAGGGATGAACAGGGAGATGGCCCAAGGCATCAAGCAACCCAAACGGCGAAACGTCGAAATCCTTCGCTGGCTTCTAGTCCCGCTCCGCCCCTCTTGTTGTAGCCTTGACCCTCGGGCACTGAAGAACCAGACTCACAGGCCTGTAAATGTCGTAGAGCAGGTAGTACGAAACGAGCCGTTGCGCCTGCGTCAAGAGCTGGTCCTCGGGGCAGAATCAGAAACTGCAGCTGGGGCTCGAGAATGCTGCTGCAATTGCGCAACATCACCTACATTACCACAGCAAGGGCTGGATTAAACTGCCGAGAGATGTTATGCTTCGGTTTCTGACCTTATGGCCTAGGGATGTTCAACGGCACCGTCCTGCAGCAGCATGCAAATGACGCATCCGGCTCGAAACCTGGTGAAAGTAGAGGGGCAGGCACCAAACTTTCCCAAATTTTGAACTCCCGAGCTCCCAGGTCTTCCAGTTACTAAAGGCCCTCAACGACTCAAAGCGTGCGGCACTGGCCCATGCCCAATCAATTGAATCTTCGCAAACTTTCGCTGTAATTAGATCGACGAAGGTTAGGAACACCCAGATCCACTGAACCCTGTATCAGTTAGCGGAACCTTCGCACGTTTTAGGTGACAATACCACCAGCCTACCACTAACCCCCTCATCAGAATATTATCCCTATAGGCTTTTCTCCCCCCCACATACATCTCACCAACTACATCACCACTACTTCTCCATTACCAAGACCAGTATAGGAATAACGGACTACCTGATCCATATCAGAAGATCATGCCTATAATGGTGTGATATAGTTGGTGAGATGTACCTGTAGGGCCCTGAAGGGGGAGTACAGGAAAAGTCTTGCAATGGGTGGGTAAGTGGAGGCTGGGGCTATTACTATTATTATCACCCAAAACGAGCAAAGGTTCCACAAACTCTTTCTGAATCCTCTAAACCGAAAGAGCACCTCCTTCAACATACCCAGAAGTCTCTTACTTTGGTGGCATTCCTCAGCTTTGCCTTTGATACAGGGAACTCGGAGGCGAGTGACAGGAGTTTAAAGGGCCACCATGGACGACCGCTGAATAGTTTCCCATCCGCTCCGACTCGGAAATCGCATTCACAGCACATGTGTAAACAACTCTCGTACTTCCTGGCCTCACCTGTCATGCCAAACTGAAGGGCCAAAAACTGCTCACCGTCAAGCCTTGCAGGTGACTAAAGCCGGAGTGAGAAGGTTCATGCGTGAAGTCCGTAGCCTAGACCTCGAAGAGCTACACCCTGAAACCTGCTGAGGTCCACGCTGCTCGGATTTTGGGAACTGTTTGTAGAACTGCCCCGCGAGGGTGTCGAAGGGCTTGTTTGCCCTGAGGCTTCGAAACACTCTTCCACTTCATGCATTGGCAGCAATGTCATAACAGTTTCGATGCAGAATTCAGTATGTAGTTGTTGTGCATTTTGGCAGCCCTGAAACGAAGATACGTTCCAGATAGACCGGAGAAGCGACTGAAACCCGCCAGGATACGGTTTATCCCGCAGTCTTACCTATGCAAATGCTCTTGGGCAAGCTAGAAAACCCTTTGAAACGTGCAGCTGCTGCGCCTTTGGCAAACGATGCACGTGTGCCGAAGTATGTTCAAGCCATGTCGGCCACAGATCTTAAGCCAACAAGATTCATCCCATCAAGCTGCGGTTCTTCGACCTCCCACTCGCAGAAACGAGGAGCCATTGAGCTTGAAGTTACTTTGGACATGATCTAGACCTCTAGAATTAGTCTACTAGGAGTCACGGTAGCCGACACTATGAACCCAAAACCTAAGCGTTCAGGAAGCAATTGGCTCGCTCCATAACACGAAGCCTGACAAGCCCAAACTCAGAAGACGGACCGCAATTCCCGAACTTCTTCTTCCTCAGGCTGCAGGGCTCCGGGCTCTTTGAGCAATTGAAGCAAGCCATCGAGCTCCTGTCAGTTGCAGGGCCATCCAAGCACGGAAGGCAGGTCAGATTCTGTGTTCAGGGCCGTACAAACAGTACAAAGTAGACAATGGCAGAGAATGAATATGCGAAGGAAGAGTTGCAGAGCTGCAGGAATGGGAGGCCTTCAATCTGGACTCGTGTTCCGAAGCCACTAACAGCCCGAAGTCGGAAAATATGAGCCCCCCTTACTTACCCCGTTACCGTTGAAACGCACGCAGCATGATGGGATCGTCGGAAGATGGCTTGCGCTCCAAGACTTGTAGGTTTCCGTTTCAGCTTCCTCGGTGGGTTCACGATTGAGGGCTGAAGATGAGCATTCACGATGAATGAAACGCATGCTTGTTCCTTCTCATGCCCTAGCATTCCTCGAAATCCACTCGTTCCATGGCTGCCTTGAAGTTTGGCTCTCTCACCACATTACCCTTTCACTCTGCCGACTCACATCAAGGTCGCTTCAGTTCTGGAAGATTCCACGGTTGCAAGCAGTCCCCCTAAGCATCGAGCCCGTACAAGCCTGAACCCAGGAGTCCCAAAAGGCTGCCGCAGCCGGCCTGCTGTGTCAGCATGCTCTCTGCCCACGCTGCGCGCGCGGGCCACGTCTCTGCGAGTGCTCGAGCCGCAGTCTTTCACTCCAAGATTGAGGCAACTGAGAAACGGCTGGCCTTAAGCATGCAGTCGGTTTTTTTGGGTTGAAAGTTTTCGAGCAACAGAGTTTGTTAAGGGGCTAGCCGCTCTAGGCTAGGCTTTGAGCTCCAGGCTGGAACGCGGCAACGATTTGAAGATTGGAGCCCTGGCAACTTTGCCAGAGCATGCATGAGCACGGCAAGAATGGGGAATTGGGGGCCGCGGCATGGGCTGCCGGGCCTCAGCCACGATCAGCTCTGCATCTCCCGCCCCGTTCCAAGGCATCGGTTCGACTTGATTCGGAGTGCAGACCACATGCCATAAACACAGCAGCTCTGCATTCCAACAACGAGCAGTCTTCGGGGAACCTTACAGGCCCAAGCCAAGCAACTCGCCAGATTTGTGCCCTCGCCCCGTGTCATCGCGATCGCGGCTATCCAAACCCAAAGCCCTAAGCCACAGACCCTACTTGTGATACAGAGACGTGCTCCAGGGTGAACCGACATTAGCGTGAAGCTGTCCTGACTGAGAGGTTCTCTCAAGACAGTTTCGACTGGTTCTTGTGCAGCATGTGACTTAGAGGCCAGCTGCTTGCAGACTCGCCAGTCATTGTAAGAGAACCTTGTCTACGGCCATCTCAGACTGTCTGTCGACCTCGATTCAATCACAGCACTCTGCCAACGCGAAATGCAAGCTAGAGCCTTACTTCTGGAATGTCGAGATACCCCGGATTCGTGCAGCCCCCTGGCCCAGCCTGCTCTGCGGAGCTCTCCGCAAACTTGTTACTCCTGCGGAGCCAAGCATGATTGACAGAATTAAAGAGTCCCTCTGAGGCGCCATCAGCGGGTTTCTAGATCGTTACAAGCACCTTTGTGGCTGCCAGGTCGGGCTGCAAAAAGCCAGCCAAACCGAACTGCGATGTCAGATTTGCGGGTTTGGCTTCAAGTTTTGGGCGGTCGAGAAAGTCACCATCATGTCCAATAATTAAACTGCACACCCAAGAAGTCGCCCAAAAGGCGTGCAGGGCCCCGGCGACTTGGTCGTGCTCTTGTTCGTGATCTTTGTGCCCTTCGCATGCGCAGAGCTTCCGACCTCAGATCTTCCACGGAACACAGGAAGCTTGACAAAAGGCTTTGCATTGGGATTTCCTTTTCATCCTCTGTCTGCAGCTTACGACTCGCAGAAGCCGGACGGGAATCAAATGCACAGCAACCCACAAGCTGAGGACGCATCCTCCCGCACCGCTGCAGACATCTGACCAGGTCGGAACTCGTGGGCCTCGGTCTTGACGATACTGACGAGGTCTGATACTTGGATCCGGCTCAATCTCCGACATGGATTGGAGCGTTGGGGGCGGGGTCCACATCAGTCTGAAGCAGTCGAGTTCCTAAGAGTCTCCGTGTCGGGCAGATTGCCCCCTGGAAGCACCAAACGTAGCTGGAATCCCTGCATACACGGAGTTCCGGCCCACGAGTCTGGCAGGTGTGACACCGCATCCCGAAACAACTGTCCGGCTTGTCGCCACACTAGCATCATAATCAGTTTCAGTAGTGTTCCTGCTTCCCTCAGATGTACGCACGATGGGTTGAGGACGCCCATGGCACCGAGTCCGAGATGCAGCACAGACGTGTAGGTTTCCTCGCTCGTCATGCAGAAGCTCCCCCTGCGGAAAGCATAGGTAGGTGGCCAGATACCAAGCCCACGCTACCATCGGAGTAAGCTAGTCCAACAGTTCAAGCCAGATCAGCGTGCATACCGAGGCCCGTGCTTCCGGCGACAGGCCTGCATGCCACGAGCGGGGTGTTGATGCTTGAGCTTGGGCTTCAACAACATCTTCGCCCTCCAGTGGATCCGCTAAACCCGTTAGTTCAATCCTACCCCGCACTTTGAATTTCAGAGAAGTCTCCGCAGGCGTCTTTCTCCAACACCGCCACCAGACCCCCCTTCCCACCAAAGAAATCACATGAATTCCTAAACCGCCCATACCAGTCTCTCATTGTATCTTATTGCGCCAGGGAGGCCTGAGCTCTGCGAGGTGTCGCCTCCGAAAGGGATGGTTTGTGTTCTGGGGCGTGACGGAGGAATCTTATGGGTTTGGGAATGTTTCGGCGTTCTACATCACGGTTTTGTGTCGGTTGGGGTGCTTGGAGTATCGACCGGTTGCTTGGGCAAAAATGAGTGTGGCATAGCCTGAGCCACGAAGCCGGCAGCGTGCAGAACTGCCAGGCGTCTCCACTCATTGATCGAGAGAGTTTGTGCCAGGGGACCTGGGGGCCTGCCTTGCCCGTTAGTGTTGACATCAGCGCACACGGAGTCTTGTTCCAGAATGCCGTAGGCTCAAGTCAGCCATTTCTATCGAAGCTCAAAGCCTTTCAAGCACCATTGGGTCGGGATTGACACGATCCGGAACGACGGGCCTTGCTTCGCCAAGCTTAGCATCTGCTCGAAGAGTTCGCTGGCACCTGGCTGAAGGCTAAAAGGGAATCCGAGAATGCCTCATGAAGACCTGACTCTGAGCCGCACCGCTCAAATGCCTAAGCCCTAAAGCTCACTGTCGACGGACACAACTTACAGAACTCTGTCTTTATCCATGGAACGGATTTGCCATAGTTCCCACAGTTCAGGGCATAACTCAACGTCAAAGCCACTTACAGAAGGCTTCAGGATTTTCAGCTTCGCAGTTCTCGATAGTTTTCGCGTAGAGCAGAAGCTGCCCACAGCGAACATTCATTGGAGCCTCTGCTGTATAGCTCCCCTGATTCCACTACGTCTATGGGCCATGGTCCAGGAGAGCCGGAGACTCCGGAGGGCCCCACAGCCTCGGCCCTAAGCCCTAAGCCTTCCTGAGGCCCAAGGCCAAAGATGCCAGAAGGCCAGACTGCGCTCTGCGAGTCTGGGAAGGCTTGGGCTTCGGATGTTGGCACCCACAAGGAGACATCCGCTTGAAGTTTAATGGTCCCAGATTCCTGCCACGGGGAAGACCCGTCGGAGAGCCTTCCCAGCACCGTATTGAAGAGCCTTTCTCAGTGATGCGAAGTACGGCATCCGTCAGAAGCCTTCAACCTAGACCCTGACAAGCTCTCCACCAGTGGTTCAAAGTGCAGATATGGGAGATTTAGAAGGGATCCCAATATGGACCCGAAGCACTGGGATCCTGAGTATTAGGACACTACGCAAGCTGGGGCCCGGCACTGGCATCGGGCTGAAACTCTGGGGCGTCGGAAGACAGCCTCGACGTTGCAGCATCCGATGCGGCCTCTCAGTCCAGAAGAGAGATTGTCAACTAGCTGGGTGCAAAGCAGAAGAGGAGAAGCATGGAGAAGCCGATGCAGGGTTGTTGGCTGTTGTTGGTTTTGCTCGGGGTTTGCCTCCGCGACGAAGCTTTTGATCCGATAGTGGTTCCCATCAAACTTGAAGCCCGGAACAGAGTAGTCAGATTTCTACGACGGGACATAAGCGATGCTGAACAACTACAGAGAATGGCGGGCCCAGTCATGGCTTTTGGCGGCGGGTCCCAGCCAAAAGACGACCACCAGCCTTGCTAGCGAATTCCTCGGGCACAGAGAAAGCAGGTAGATCTGGGTCCACGCCTGAGCATGGGGTGCTGGCTGAAACATACTTTCGATGCTGCCTACCTGGCATTTGAGAAGCGGAGCCTCACATGAGTCTGTGCTATCCCCATTCAAAGTGCTAGGTACGTCATGAGAACTCGAAGGCACAATCCATCAAATACAACACCCAAAACTACAACTAACAAGCCTTGCCTAAGCTGAAGGGCCTGTTGGCGACTTACATAGAGCTTCCTCCTATACACTTCGCTTGCAGCTTAGGCTTATGCACAGCTCTAAACTACACCCTATTACCTCGAACCCTGACCACCTCAAACGTTAGGAATACGGCGTTGCCGAGATTATCCTACAATGGTACAGAGATCATCGGACAAATGGTGAAGACTATTATTTCTACTTCTTCTTGGTGCCTGACATTACGCTGGCCCCTCATAACTTTGCACAACAGCTTAGACCGGCACGACGCCCAGCATCACCATTCGCCTGGGTGCTTGATGATTACATGCAGAAGCATGCTTTATAATCGAAGCTCTCTCTGTCTTTACTCACTTCACTTCACTCCAGGGTCCAGGGAGCTGTCGAAGGTTCCGGCACCAAAAGGTGCGCTCCTGTTGTAGGGCCTTGTGGGGGAGAAGGAACCCTAGACACGCCGGTAAAAAGATATGGTTTCTCTGCCTCTCGGTCTCCGTCTCTCCCTCTCTCACTCTCGCACTCTCTTTCTCTCTCTCTCTCTCTCTCCATACCTAGGGAGAGGTATTCATGTATATACAGCCCCAACTTGTCAATCTGAGCACTGCAGTTTTTTTGTCGCGGCCCTGCGGAAAGGATGCATGGAGTGCGCGTCACAGCACTCGAAGCACTACCGAGGAGAAGCTGTCACTCTGACCGAAAGAACCCATCCACGACATATTCTCAGGAATCGCCAGCCTTTCAAACCTTGGAGTGTCTTGATGCTAAGACCCCGTTCCCCTTGCTGTTGAAGAGGTTAACGAGCTTTCTGCGGAGCTGCGGACCCGCCACCACATTCATCATCTAAAGAGAGACTTGTGGTTTTGAGGGATTCACGCTTGTTAAGTGTCTTATAAACAGTCTTTGCCCATCGAAATGAAAGACCTCTGTCCACTCGAAACCCGCAGCTCACAACTTCATATGTAATCATACTCATGCTGGAGCATCCACAGAGCTAACTCGGAACTCAGGGCTCATCAAGTTCACAAACGCTGGTTTTCGAGAGAACGACTGCAAGGTTCACATGCTTAAGAAACCGATAGCATCTCCAAAGCCCCTCCTCGCTGTGCTTCGCTTGCTGCATGCTTCTCTCATGTCATCTTGGCAGTGCCGCTTGTTCGTGACAGCCGTCTGGCCACTTCGCTCAGCCAGGGTCTCTGGCGCACTCGACGTCAACCCTCAGACCAGAAAGGTCAAAGCCCTGAAACCCTGTAATAAAGCTCCCATGAAGAGAAAGCCACACACCGGCCCTGCAAGACCCTCTTCCGAAGCAACGGCGGCGCCATGTCTCCTTCGCTTTTCAGCGGGCAGAGGCCGGCAGTTCTGCCTCAGGCTCCGCGTTGCCCCAAGAGCTGCCGAAGCCCAGGTCCTGAGGTGGAGTCTGAGGGCTGTCATGTCTGTGGTGCTTGAGGACTTTGGGTTGCCTCCAAACCTCCGGCGTTTTAGGCTGAAGCCCGGAACCTCGAGATGTTCAGATCTTGATCCTTTGTGCCTTACTTTACGCGAGGGCCTCCAGAACTTCGAACGCTCATCATGGTTCTCCAGTCATCAGATTTCTTCATTCAAGTTCAGCCGACTGAGGTCCTTGAACCCTACTTCTGACTCTACAATTCTAGGATCCTTGATCAGAGCCAGGCTCGGGCTTACCTCTGGCAGAAAGACTGGCCAAGAGTCCAACTTGATTGTCCCCAACCTTACGAATAGCACTCGCACCCTTTGGTCGAAGCTCTAAACCTTAGAGCTATAGACTAATAGAGCCCAAAAAGCGTTTCTTCAAGGGAGGCCTCGAGGCTGGTCAGGGCTGCGCCGCCCTGCAAATAGCGGCGGCCGACGAGGTTCTCCAGGCCGGCCATGGCCTCCCAAAGGAAGAACACGGGGAACTTCGCTTTGGAAGAGCCCGGAACTGAAGAGGCAAAGGAGGTCTCTGGTGGGGTCTTCCCTTCCTTTGCTGATGCTACCGGGGGCGAAGCTCGATCTTCTGGTAAACAGATGATGAAGCTTGCTTCGAGCCTTGCAGCATACGTGTGCTGCAAAGCTCTGAACCTCCTACGGTACGTTTATAGGCCTCAAACCCGTTACCAGTGCTACGGCAAGTACAACATGATGCATCAGCTGTGGTTTCGCTGACATCTTCTAGAGCCCTGGAGTCCTGAATCACATGGGCTTTGATTTGCGACGGTGCTGCTTAGGATTTGAGTGCTTATCTCCTCAGCATATTCGGAAGCGTAGCACTGGCCAAAGCCTCGACGAGTTTGCTGTCGTTGGCTACAGAGGACTCCTGAGCCAGGACAGACACTGAGATCTCGCAAGATACGATACGAGGCTCAACTGTGGAGACAGTGACCGGTTTAGCTTTCAGATTGTGTGGTGCTTGGTGAAACTCTGTTTTACGTGGGTGTGCAGAGGGTAGAGACGAAGCCCACGTCTACCTGCAAAAGCATAATAAGGTAGTTAATACGAAGGAAACTGTAACATGAAGTCCAACTTCCGATCGCGTTTTGCAGTTCTTGCACCGGTCCCCGCATGTGCACGCCTGAGGCGGGAAGGTCACGTGGTGCGGTATGCTGAATTCCAAAACCCTTGAGCTCTCCACCTCCTGCACCCAGCACTCGACCATGGATCAAGCATCCGACCAATGGCGCGATTACATGGTCACGACATAAGCAACACACGTTTGCTCACTAGCCCTCCTCAAGCTCACCCAAACTTCCCGGGAAGGGGAGAGCCCTGTCTCGCATTACAATCTCGAGCCTGCTGGTCCCTGATGCGCAAAGCACTGAGTCACTAAGCTAAGTTTGTACCCCCATGCCGACTACACTCTCCTCTCCCGCTCTTTTACAAACCTCGCAAGGCCTGAATTTTGAGCTAACCGCCGGACCGGGAACGGGGTCTCAGTCAGATTGATACCGCAAATCAATAGAATCAGCAAATCCGGTCGTCCGTTGAACCTTGCCCATGTCTCATCTGCCCCTGCCCTTCAGTCGGCCTCAGGCTTTGCCTCAGCTTCTGTCCCAATGCTCGCTGCCAGCTGGGCGCCCAGACGGCCTTATTCACTGCAACCTATCCTATGATGCTTTAGTAGGCTTAAAGTCCCGCCGTTCAGATGTTTGGCTGCGACGGCTCGGGGGTGACGGGCCCCGGGGTTCGTCAACGGTTTGTAGCTGCGGAATCAGCTTATGTACAAGGCTGTCTGCCTCAGGGACAAGAAAATGTCGCTGTTGGAGGACGCCGATGGGTTGAGTTTTCGACGCAGGGCAACAACACCGCAATTGGGTTGCAGCTAGAATAACAATCCATATTAGTTTATAGCGGCAGACCTTCTGTGGGTTTTTTCCTTCTGTGATTTGCTTTTATGGGGGAGGGGGGGTAGAGCCTGTTCGCTGTTTCGCGCCCGCCATGCTCCTGGAACTGCGACTACTCGAGGGACAACATGTCGGCCGCGTTCCGGTACTCAGGGGACAAAATTTGGCGGTGCTCTGAGATCCTCCAGAACTTGGAGAAGGCATGTTGGCCCATCAGTATTTGGAGGTTCGGTCAACAGTATTAACACATATTAGTAGTTTGCGGGGCCTGCTCCGGGATTTTTGGCCGCGGTACCGAAAAGTGGTTAGTGGAGGCGCGAGACGACAAGGCCGATGACATGGAACAGGAATGTTGGCATGGTCTTGGAGATGCGGGACCATCGGAGTACGAACGGTGCAATTGCTCTTGGCTGCAGAGGAGCACCAGCCCCCGCAGCCCATGCCCTGCGCGAGTTGGGAGCAACGCGGCTGCTGACGGCCTCGCAGCTTTTGCACGCATCGCCATGGCATTGCATAATATGCTCCGACTGCAAGTCATTCATGCCCAATCTGAGAGGCAACCATCTGCAGGGTCTTCGTCAGGCGCTCATAGCTAGTGTTGTGCTCAGCATATAAGACGAGCGAAAGGCATCCCCACATACTTGCGTTGAGACCAGCTTTTAACATTGAGCGTGGAAGCAGTCGAAAGACTCGACGATGCGCAAGTCTGCCTCGTCTTTGCCCAAGAGGTCTGAGGAAGATGTCACCCGGGCATCTGTCGACATTGCAGCAGCTGTGCTGGAATTCGAAATCAGCAGCATGATTCCGCTGGCCCGTTGGACCCTTTGGGCTCGTACCTTCTTGCGAAGACGATGCGCAAAGGCGTAAAGCCTTGGAGCAATCGTGAGGAAGCCATCAGCGCCAACAAGGAGTTGGGCTGTCATAGCCTCAGCCCAGGTTGTCTTCTGGTCCGTCTCTGTGAGGAGAAGTAGCTCAAAGACGCAAGGCACATTCCGCAGCGTGTGAATGCGATTCTGCCACATGCGAACCTGTTCCGAGGCAGTGAGGCATCCAGTTATGACCTTTTCCTTGATGATCAAGATGGTGGCCAACGAGTGGAGCCACTCAAACAATTGATCAGACTGGCAAATTTGGACAAGCTTGTCCCGCTTGGGCAGGTCCTGGTCCTTCAGCGACTGGCCGACAGCCTAGTCCACCATGGTATTGATTTCGACGGGGCCCGGTACTTAGTCGACGTATCGACTACTGGGGGGCCAGCGGCAACTGGAGGTGCACAGAGTGCCCATCTTCTGGGGTGGCCTTTGGCAGAGCTTCCAGACACTTTGAATGGCTTGGATGCTGATGTAATGTGCTCGGGGCTGTGGCTAGAGGATGCAGGCTGTGCTGGTGATGGAGCAAGGAAGGAGGGCTGGCGGCCACCCTCCTTGTTGGGCTGAGCAGGTGGAGACGTTGGCTGTGCCCCTTAAGGGGAGCAGCAGAGGTCTGCGGGCCGGCAGAAGGGGTTGTTGGGGCCTGTGCACCTGCCGGTGGTTTCGTTTGCTGCTGCGGCGTCGGAGACTGGGTCACTCGGAGAAGCAGACGAGCTGAACAAGCAGAGAAGCGCCGCAGACGGAAAAGCACCGAAGCAAACAAGCGGAGCAGGAAGGGACCACGGATGCGACAAAAAAGTCAGAAGCAGAGAAGCGCAAAAGCATAAGCGCAGAAGCAGACAATCGGAGCAGGAGAAAAGCGGAAGCGCAGCCAGGAGGCGAAAAGCCGAGAAGCATTGCAGGCAGGGAAAACAGAGAATCGGGACAACACAGCAGGACCAGACCAGAAGGACGGGCGAGCTGAGGAGCACAAAAGCAGAGGGCGGGGGCGAGGCCAAAACAAAGACCACCCACAGCCGCAAAATCCACAAGAGATTACCCTTAGATTAAGCTCGCAAGCACATCGTGGATGATTGGAGTCTGTGCCGTCGCTAGGCAAGCTACGTGAGCCCAAAGTTCTTGGAAGTGTAGGCTTCACACACGTGCAGAATCCGGGCTTTACTGCCAAACCCGGCGGCTGATGGCTTTCTTCCGGCGACGGCGCTGTGCCTGGCGGGTGTTCGATGGAACATGATCTTGAATCAACAGATTGCGGCCCAACTCAAAGCAGCATGTTGTGCAAGTGGCAATGGGAATTCGACGTGAATTTCTGCACCATCGTCCCTAAACTTTTCAGCATCCATCGAGCTTGAGGAACCAACCTGAGCCATTGCACCCTTGAGGCCGAATGTTGAACTCTCCCATCAGACCCTGCGGGGACAAATCTCGTCGATTGGTAGATCCTGGCAACTCATGAAGCCATATGAAGCCAAAACGCTACCTGAAGCGACCCACCAAACTCCATTTCCCTGCCTCGGTCTCCCGCTCCGACTCCTCCCGCTCCCGGGCACGCTGCAGCGCCAGCTGAGAGTTACAGATCGCCTCGTCATGGCTGGTGTGTACCCATGTATGCACCGCGGTAGAAGCCCTTTCTTGAAAATTGAATATATTTTCCTTATGTCAACTTTAAAGTAAATGAAAATTATGTACAGACTCATATATTATGTATTTACACACTCTTGCACATGTACGCGGATACGTGCCCTGCCCTGAGCTGACATGTTGGGCTTAGGACCTGACCTGACCTGCAACGGATCCGTGATGTGGGAACATACTGACTTTAATGCAGGTGTTTGCAAGGTGGATTGGTCCGTGCAGCAAATCAAGTAAGTTTGAAGTCAAGCCTGCAGGCTGTATCCGGAATGCTGGACAACTACTAGAAGCCCAAGAGCTATGAGAACTAGCTTGTTAGAGGGTGTGGCTGCTGAGGGCTTCGAAGTGGAGTTGTATGCAGTCCCGGAGTTCCCAGCTTGGACCACAACCCCAAAACCGCAATCGCAGTGTACAGCCCCCGATGTTGGACGAAAACAATCTCGTCGCAAGAAGCATGTCTTGCCGGGCTGCTTCGGCATTATCCGTCGCGTCATCCAGCATGTCTTCGACCTGGCTCGTTCGTGTTTTCGGTGTGGTTGTACTTATTTCAGAAACGAAGGCTTGGGGTCTAGTCCCTGGATCTTTTGTGTCAGTGCGGATCGTAGGATGACAAACACATCAAGCTTCTGTCGGACATCTTAAACGAATCCGCAGCCGCAACCCCGACGGTATTGCATCTCACGGTGGGAAACATCACCGGAGTATGTAAGCATCCCCCCGCCTGTGCCAGCTGCAGCTCAATCATTGCGTTCGCAACATTCCACGCCTGCGAAACGCCAAGCTCGTCCGAAACAGCTGGGAATGTGAAATCGCAGATGCACAAAAATGAGCGGGACTGGGGCCGCTGACTTCCGCTTCACAGTCTCTGCAAAGTTCCTGCTCGACTCGTTGACTCACTCTACTCTCCGATGTAACAGGATAGCAGGCAGGGTGCTCTTATCATGAGCTCGGAACTGCACGTCTTGAGCACCGTTCACGTTAATGAGATCGTATAGCTAAGATTGGCCATGCATCCTTCCGTGATCGTCCTGTGCATCCCTGCCTTCGGGTTTAACATCAACTATCGCAAAAGGCTTGGAATGCTCCGATAAAAGCTCTGCAGCCTTTCGCGCCTCTCGCTGCTTCAGCCGCCGATAGCGCCTCTGCGTGGCTGCACGGTCTCCCCGGCGCCGCTCGAGCTCGCGCTCGTAGGCCCGGGCCTCCACATGGAGCTGGAGGACTGGAAGTTTCGACTTGGGAGCTTCAGAGGTGCTACATCTAGGAGCGCGAAGCTCGACCGGCTGCTCTCATCCAAAAGGGACCCCATCCCAGAACTTAGATCCTGGACTCCCGCGTCCTTCACCCAGAAGAACCGACTCTTAAGATCATGAATGATAGGGAAAATTCCCTATGTGTCAACAACCGCCCCTAGTCACCAATGATTCGATCGCAGCACCTCCTCCCTGATGGAATTCGCTTCTTCCTGTCACAAGAGGCACGTAATCGAGCGAGGGACAGAATGACTGTCTAAACCAAGCAACATGAAACTAATCGTGCAGGGTCTAAAGGTGCCAACAAAAGGGGCATGTGGAGCACCCTCATGGCCTTAAGCCAAGTTTTCTGACCCTGCATCGAAGCCATACCGTCTGTTTGTAGTCTTAGTGAATTGAGTTCCTGATTCAGAGGTCTGTTTCAAGAGATACCCCAAAAACCCCCTCGAGCTTTTGGCCTTCTGCAGTTCGGCGCTAAATTCGGTGCAAAAGGTTCACTCCCTTCAACGGCAGGAAAACTAGTTGTGAAGCAGGCCTATTGTAGCGCGAGATCCTCCTCAGCCCCGAACCGCACAGGATTGTTACCCATCACACCTGCAGCCTTAAAAGAAGCAACCCCCTGATAAAGGAAACGCTCAGCCATAAGCCTTCAACACTTTCTGCACCACCAACACGGTTAGTTTTCCTGCTGTAGTGTCATCATGGTCAAGAAAATAATTTACTTCTGAGAGGCGGTGTGCGGTGTAGTAGCCAAAATAGCAATAACAGGAATAGCAGTCGTCGTCGTCGCAATCGGAAGACTTCTTGCGTTGCCATGACAAGCATAGCAGTGATTGCTTCTGAGTGAGCGATGAAACTACACATCAGGAATACGGATTTCTCTTGATTCTTTAATTTTGCTCTGCTATTCACGCACCCCTGCAGCGGCCAGCCTCGAGGACTGCCACTGCTGCAGCCTCCCGACTGAGGCGAAACTCGTGGTCGGCCAAAGCCGCGATCCTTGTTGAGTAGTCAAGATTTCGGGGATTTTGGGCCTTTTGGGGTTCGGGGTCAGGTTCTGACTATGAGACGCCGGGAAATCCTGACCTCACCACCAACACCCCGAAACCAACTTTAGATTCGAAAGCCCAGACCCGCTACTGGAAACTCACTGCAAAGACACATCTCCGGGAGGTCGGACGCCTCGTCACCTGCAAAGCCGATCAACAGAGGCAGTCTCGTGGCTTCAGACCAAAACTCGGAGATTTCAGGGTTGAACAACCCGAAATCTGAAACTCTACACCTCCCCTTCCGACAGCTCGGCCTAACGCGGCAGCCAAGTAGAAGTTCACCTTGGTCTTGCATCGCACTTTGGTCTTGCACAGCTATAAGATTTCTTGACAGAGTTCCCCAGGCGACTCACCGGAGAAAGCGGGTAACATAAATACAGCATTGCGGGGTCTCGAAATTGCCTTTCGGAGTCTAGGGTCACGGTTTCAGGACCATGGTGTGCTTCGCCCTGGTTCCGCGCTTTTTGAAGTCGTGGGTGCAGGGCACGAGGGTTCTGCCCTTTTTGGCCCAAAGACGTGCTTGCGCTGAGTCGCTTTCTCGCTATTCTCTTAGTGCATCTGACTTTCCTGATGGTTTCATTTGCCAATCCAGCAGCTATGATGAAGCCTGAACTAAAAATCTCGACTTGGCCCCCATTCCGACTCCTAGCAGAAACGGCTCTGCTACAATTTTTTTGCGACACTCTGGATCTGAGCCTCCCGGGCATCGATGCAAGGTACAAGAACGAGTCCTGAAAAGCTTAATTAACGCCTGCAGCAGGTGAATATGATGGGATGGAACAGAAGTTAGTGAAATCGGGTTTAAAGTGGGCTCGGGGCTTCTGATTGGGAAGCAAGGACTTGGTCGCGAAAAACTTATTCGCTTGACACAGAAAGAACATCTGATGAAAGAAAGAATCAAAACAAACGGAACCATAGAAACCAGACTGATTTGGCAACCCAAAAACGTGGAGATTTCTGCAGCGACTGGCCGTTGTAATGACGATATCGTTAGCTT